ACGCGTTTCAGAAAGGCGGGGCATAGAGGAGAAACAATAATGTACATTATATGGAAAATAATGTGTTTTTTAAACCTTAAACCGCATAAACACATTGCATTACACCAAATACACAACATAATGTTCTTTTTAGCAACGTCATATGACCCCTTTAAAGCAAATCTTTAAAAATACAGTTTAATTTAAAAACTTTGTTACATTAATAATTTTAAGTTACATTTAATCTTTAGCTAATATAAAAATAATATTGAATTGATTTTTTTCATACTAACGTTGGAATGCATTAATTCACTTGTAGCATCTAAAACAATTTATTTTCAATGTTGTATTTTCAATTTATAAATGTGTTTATTTAAAGAATTTTATGTGCCATTAATTGATTATTGGCCATGATATGATAATTATTGACTGATTTTTATCAGCCAGAATTTGAGTATCTGTGCATCCTTTTGTGCTCTTCCGTAAGTGCATTAATGCTGTTTTATGAACTAAAGGATTATGCAGCAAATAATTATGCCACAAATGCTGCTTACTGTCCTTCACATTGACTGAACCTGAATCATTTGGCACATGCAGGATTTTCTAGGAGTATCTGGGGCGGTGTTGGATAAAGAAAGTGCCACTGGCCGCTCTTTGGTCTTAGTATTATAATTTCACTCAGCCTGGCACTGCGGCTCAATGAACTCTCATATTTCGGTCATTGTGTGTCAAGGGCTGCAGGGTGACTTTCCCCTCTAAGAGGTCTGGGATGAATGCCATCAATAAAAGATGAGGCATATGCTGTGTCGCTTTGAGTCTATTGGATGATTTGAAGTGATTTTCGAGCAGAATCACAGGACCGGTCCTCAGAGGACTCCTGTGAGTGAAGGCGCTGAGTAGATTGACAGATAGACCATACTGCACTGCTGCAGACAGAAATGACACTTAAGAACAGAACAATCCAATGTGAGAAAGAACATGGGGCTGTGAGTCTTGAGTTAGGGTGGGTGGGATGACCAAACGCTATGAGTAACTGTGAATCACGGTAGCTAGTCATGCTTGCTGAATGTTTAATGTGAAAATCTTATATAAATATTAATAAAAAATAAAATGATTAAATTAATAAATTCAATTGACTATCCTACAAAGTCATTTGTGAATTATTCAGAAAAAAAGATTAAATATTCATTATATATTAAATAATAAAATAATATCTAAATTTTTAAAAAAAAACTTTTTGTAGGATCTTTTTTTTTCAGTTGTGTTAAATTAAATAATTTACAAATGAAATGTGCTTCGTCTCATTTCATTGTTTTTTCATTTTTTATATATTTTTTTGTATTTTGGTTGGATTTGAAGTCTGAAATTAGTGCAAAAGCAGCTTTGCGTTATGAAACAATAGAGTTAAAAACCAAATAGTCAATTTTATAATTTGCAAATGAACGATACTTTGTCTCATTTGATTCTTTTCAGTTTTATTGGAATTTTGATTGGATTTGAAGTCTGAAATAAGTCCATAAAGAGCATTACATTATTAAACAGTTGAGTAAAAAAAAAAAAAAAGCAAATACTGTGAATTTAGTTTTATTTGGATTTTGATTGGATTTGAAGACTGAAATTAGTGTGTAACTGAATAAAAACGTCGGTCATCCGACGTGACGTCGAGAGTGACCGACTGAAAGGGAAACTCAATTTTGTAATTTACAAATGAAACTTAATCTGTGTAAATCCGTGTATCATTCGTTAAAACAAACAGGCTAATGAATAGCTCGACACAACTCGTACC